TCTGAAATGCGAAAAATGTCGCTATGAGAAAAATGAATCTGCAAATTACGCCAAACACCAACTGCGATATTGATCCAGAGAATAAACTTGGAAATAGACTTAGAAATCGAGCGGTGAAGCCATGAAAGAACCATGGTATTACAACGAATCCATGGCGCATATAAAGGATTAGAAATCAGAGGCTTTGTTAGGGTTCCATCGATGAACTTTTCCTTGTTCTTAGAGATTAACGCGATGTGCATTGATTAAGACCGTGTGTGGTAATTTTTATCATCAAGTAATGGAGACACAATAACAATAGCAGGGTTTTCGTTTGGATGCAAATAGTAAGGATTTGTGGAATTTGCGAAAAAGTCGGTATAAATCTGGTTAGCCATTGACAGAAGAAACACGAAGAAGAAGAAAGGAACAATGGAAAAATAGGCAATGCGGAAGCAAAAGAAGAAGATGAAACAATGGCTACCAGGGCTTTGTGAGATTTGATACCATGTTGATGATACAACAGTAGTGCACAAACTCCACGAAAATGATAACAAGAATTCAAGAAGATATTAAAGAGAAGTAAATGTGAAATGGTAAAGTTCCTTTATTGAATGAATGAATCAGATAAGAGAGTACAACCATGTATTTATACAATGGATAATAACAGAAAAACTAACAGATAATGCTAGGCATATAAACTATATAGGTGGAAATCAATGAGAGGCTAGAATAAACTACTACTATATTAACAAGAATATTATTAATTGCAGCAAAATAAACTTATAACTGAAAAACAGGTTATCAGAAAAAGCCAATGCTGACCAACCGACCGAGCATCAATGCAATAAAACTACCCGCCACCAATCTAACCATCAGACCAAATCCTAACATAAACAGCCAAGCCACTGCAGCAACCAAAAACTTCATCCAAACCCTGAACCCTAAACATCAAAAAACAAGATTCAAAAAGCAAGATTAAAAAAAAATATGATTATTCATCGAAACCCATGAAAACAAAACACATAAACTGAACCATTAATATCAAAATGTATATATTGAATCCATATAATCAAAATGCATAAATTGAACCATAAATGCTCCATTGAAGCATCACAACAAACATATTTACTTAAATATTTACATACCATTTGATTGCTTCTTCTGGTTCGGCTTTGTAAGCGAGATTGTTGATAATGAATCTGGATTTATTTTTGGAAGATCCTTGCAAGTATCAAAATAATTTGTAAACTGACGTAGTTGATCATCAGTTGTTTATATTTGATTTCGAAAAGAAAAAAGAATAAGAAGGAAAAAGGAAGAAGAGGAAGAAGGAAGTATATCCAGAGAGAGAAAGAGAAAAATGAGGGGATTTCAAAAGTTTGGACACAGGAGAGATGTTTTTGGAGTTAAACATCACACGTGGAGAGCTGAGAAAGTAGCAGAACAACAGACGTAGAGAGCTGAGGAAGCACCAGGGTATTTTGGTCTTTTCCAAAACACCTTTTTTTATATGATAGATGTTTTACGATAACAGATAACATTTAGAGTATTTTGATTTTGATTTTAATTTCAAACTAGTAAAGGAACCGTGCGTTTGCACGGGTCGCACAATATTGATATAAATATTAAATAAATATTATATAATAATGATTAAGAAATGTATATAAAGTTTAAGAGAAAAATATTTTAATTATAATTGTCATATAAATATTAATTTAATTTATAAGGAGTAGTGATGGTTAAAATATATATAAATTAAGTAGTCTCGGTTCGTTAGAAATTTATATTTTAATAGAAAAAATAGAAAAAATAATTAAATAGTCATCTACCTGTACAAACGCGTGGGTCACACAATATCGTTATAAATATTAAATAAATGTAGTAAGTGATGGTTAAAAAATTTATATAAAAGATATTCAAATTACGTAAGTAGTCTCGGCCTGTAGAAAATGTATATTTAATAGAAAAATAAAAGAAATAATTAAGTAGTCATTTATTCGTGCATTCGCACGGGTCATACAATTTCATTATAAATAGTAAATAAATATAATATAATGATGCTTAAAAAATATATATAAAATATAAAAAGAATAACACATTTGTGTTTTTATAAGAGATTTGTGTATTCACCAATCATAATTGTCTCATGTTTTGTTTTATAAAAGCAAATATTTGTATCGTTCTTTAGTATAAATATTAACATTTTATCATATTAATATTTTTTCAAATCAATTTCATTTTTATCATATATCTTTTTTTATTAAGTATATGATATTTATTTATCTAGAAAAATATAAGAAAAATCATACTTAATAGATTGAATTAATTATTATAGTAGTGGTCAAAAAAATAATGTTACAACTCATAAACAAATTTGAAAAACCAAAATAAAATTGAATTAATTAATTTTTTAAATATATCCCATAAAATTAAATAATAGTTTACAATATATTAAATAAATGATATATTTTAAGATTTAACAATAAATATTTCTCTATTTTACATTATAACATGTAAAAGCATTTTTTACTGATACTTTATAATTACTGAAATTTTATAATTAATGTTTTTTTTGTCTTTTGTCACTTAGATATAAACCTCTAATCAAATGTATATTTTATATATTATCTATTACTTCTCTTTAAAGAGGATGGATAAAAAAACCATAATAATTTTATATAAAAAATGATGGGTTTAGTAATTGATGATTATAAATATAATCTTTAATATCAAAATGTATATGTTGAGCCCATATAATTAAAATGCATAAATTAAACTATAAAGGCTCCGTAAGTGAGTGAGGTTGTTGATAGATAACTATAAAGCCTGCATCAAACACATTTATTTAAATATTTAAATACCAACTGCTTTTTCGGGTTTGGCTTCGTAAGTGAGGTTGTTGATAGTAAATCTAAATTTGTTTTTGAAAGATCCTTGCAAGTATCAAAACAATTTGTAAACTGTTGTCGCTGATCATCAGTTGTTCCCATTTGATTTCAAAAAGAGGAAAATGAGAGAAAGAAATAGATCTAGTTGAAGTTAAACAGCACACGTGAAGAGTTGAGAAAGTAGCAGGACAACAGACGTAGAAAGCTGAGAAAGCCAGGATATTTTGGTCTTTTTCAGACCACTTTATTTTCCTATATGATAGATAACATTTAGAGTATTTTTTATTTTAATTTCAAACTAATAAAGCACGGATCGCACAATATCGATATAAATATTAAATAAATATTATATAATAATGATTAAGAAATATATATAAAAATTAAGAGAAAAAATATTTTAATTATAATTGTCATATGAATATTAATTTAATTTATAAGGAGTAGTGATGGTTAAAATATATATAAATAAGTAGTCTTGGCTCGTTAGAAATTTATATTTTAGTAGAAAAAATTATTAAAAAAATTAAGCACTCATCTAGCCGTACAAACGCATGAGTCGCACAATGTCGTTATAAATAGTAAATAAATATAGTAAGTGATGGTTAAAAAATTTATATAAAAGATATACAAACTAAGTCGTCTCGACCCGTAAAAAATGTATATTTTAATAAAAAAATAAAAAAATAATTAAATAGTCATTTACCTGTGAGTTCGCTCGAGTCGCACAATGTTATTATAAAAAGTAAATAAATATAATATAATGATACTTAAAAAATGTATATAAAATATAAAAAGAATAATACATTTGTGTTTTCTCAAGAGATTTGTGTATTCACCTCACCGATCATAATTGTCTCATATTTTATTTTATAAAAACAAATATTTGTATATTTTTTAATATAAGTATTAATATTTTATCATTAAAAAAAATTAATATTTTTTAAATCAATTTTATTTTTTTCTTGTATCATGTCATAATATCATATAGTATTTTTTATTAAGTATATGATATTTGTTTATCTAAAAAAGTATAAGAGAAATCATATTTAATATATTGAATTAATTATTATAGTAGTGGTCAAAAAAATTTATTACAACTCATAGACAAATTTGAAAAACCAAAATAAAATAAAATTAATTAATGTTTTAAATATATCCCATAAAATTAAATAATAATTTATAATATATTGAATAAATAATATATTTTAAGATTTGACAATAAATATTTCCCTATTTCACATTATAACATGTAAGCATTATTTACTGATATTTTATAATTAATATTTTTTTTGTCTTTTGTCACTTTAATATAAACCTCTATATATATATTACCTATCACTCTCTTTAAAGAGGATGAATAAAAAGACCATATTAATTTATATAAAAAAAAATATTTGACGGATTTAGTAATTGATGATTATAAATATAATCTTTAATATTAAAATGTAAATATTGAATCATATAATCAAAATGTATAAATTATTTATTGAAGTATCACAGCAAACACATTTAGTTAAATATTTACATACTAATTGCTTCTTCGGGTTTGGCTTCGTAAACGAGCCTGTTGATAGTGAATTTGAATTTGTTTTTGAAAGATTTTTGTAAGTAATAAAATAATTTATAAGCTAATATTGTTGATTATCGATTGTTTCTATTTGATTTTAAAAAGAGAAAAATGAGGGGATTTCAAAAATTTGAAAACAGAAAAGACGTTGTTGAAATTAAATAGCACACGTGGAGAGCTGAGAAAGTAGCATGACAAGAAAACAGTTTGATATTTTGATTTTTTTTTAAAACATCTTATTTTCTTATATGATAGATATATTAGGATAACATTTAGAGTATTTTGATATCAATTTCAAACAAACACACTTCTAGTGAATATTATACTTTTACCTTTTTTTCTTTGTTTTTTCTCTGTTTTTTCTGTATTTTTTCCCAAGTATAATTCAATATCCAATTCCAGTACTATTTTCCTTCTTTCTTTTTCTGGGCTCAAAAGATCTTCTGGTGGTTACTCACCCCACTGTCACTTCATCTTCACTATGCAAAATATTCCATTTTTCTATACATATTAATCCCTTCTTCAATCGGGTTCCATTAGATTCCATTTTCTTATCACAATCTATGCTTTTTACTTCTTATACAACCCAATTGGATGTTCCTGAAGTAAAGAATTTCAAACTAACAGGTGTGTATTTCACTGCAATTTCAAAGAAAAAACTTCCCTTTTCCTCACAAATCACGATACCCCTTTTCTTTTTTTTAGGTATTTTTATCATCTTTCCAAATAATTTGTTTTTTTGTTTTGTTGCTATAGTATCTTGAATTCATGTCGGTGAAATTCTGGTAGAAAACTTGTACATAGAAATATTATAGTGGATCGTCCGGTTAAGCCAGTAGTGACATTGTGCGACATCCCACTTATTTGTACTGCATTTGTATTTAAAGTTTGTATTCAATGCATTACAAAGCCTGTAGTTTATAAGATTAGTTTGAGTTTTTTATTTTCTAACATGAATTGTGGAATGTATTTTCAGGAAAAAGGAGAATAATTTTGTGTAATATGGGTTGGCTTACCAAGTTTCTCAATGGCTCTAATCATAGAATTTTGCGAGGTCAATACAATGGCAAACATGGTGATGATAGAATTTGGGATAATCAACATAGTTCAGTGGTAACCTTAGTTTTTCTTTACTAGTAAGAAGTTGAAATTGTTGTTTAATGTTACAATTCTGACTTTGCTTGATCGTGGCTTAAATTTGATACGGTAATGGTTTTCTTGAGAGTTAGGGAGATAGTTTGAATATGTAATTGTGACAAATTGTGTGCAGGATGATTTGACAGATGTCGAGAAAGAAGATATCGACCGCGCTATTGCACTTTCTCTATCAGAGGAGGATCTGAAAGGGAAGAAAGTTCTTGGTAAGGTTTATGCTATTAGTCGATCTACCGTTCGCATGCTGACGTATAAAAGAAATGTCTCATGTTTTTTACCTCGTAATATCTCAGAGGATGACTCTCGGTCAGAAGAAGACGAACAACTTTGTGAAATTGATGAGCAAGATGAGAATGTTGGTAAAGTTCGACGAAATGAAGATGAACTGCTAGCTAGAATTCAGCAGGATGAAAATGAACGCCGTGCCAAAGACCAACTTGAGGAAGATGAGGAACTTGCTAAGGCAATTCAATTGAGTTTGAGCGTTGGTTCTCCTCCTCGGCATGGCAATGATTCTTTACCTCAACCTCCTCCCCACCTCTTTCCACCTGGATTTAGGTAATTATGGGCATAATCACATCTAGCAAATTCAAATACTGTTTATGGAAAGCGCTGAAGTTCACTAGGATGTGCCTAAAACTTGAAATATTGGCCTCTGTTGCAACAATGTGGATCCATATAGTAGACAACGTTAGGATTTTACTTTTTTGTATTTTCATGATTTTTTTTTTCCTTATTAAAAATGAACAATAAATCTGGTTCTGGAAAATTTGTCTGCAGAATCTGTGCTGGATGCAATGCTGAGATTGGTCATGGGAGATTTTTAAGTTGCATGGGAGGTGTCTGGCATCCACAATGCTTCTGCTGCCATACTTGCCATCTTCCAATCACTGATTATGAGGTTAGAGTTTCTTTATCCATGTTTTCTTGCTAGACAAAAACAAGTTGAAACTTTACTAAGAAATTCATTTAGTTAGGTCTTCAAATTATTTATCTCTTTTCTTAGTCAATCTCAATACAATTATGAATAATACTTCAACATCTTTTTGTTCATTTGCAGTTTTCGATGAATAGCAACCGTCCGTACCATAAATCCTGCTACAAGGAGAAGCATCATCCAAGATGCGATGTTTGCAAGAATTTTGTAAGTACCTTGGCAAGAGTCTTTCACTTGCAGTTGTCTATTAGGGTGTAAGGGCAAACATCATAAGCCATTGAGGTGAAAATGTGGTGCTCACGACAATTTTTTATTGTTTCATTACAGATCCCGGCTAATTCAGCTGGCCTCATTGAGTATAGAGCTCACCCGTTCTGGATACAAAAATACTGTCCAACACATGAGCTCGACGGCACTCCTCGTTGTTGTAGCTGCGAAAGAATGGAGGTAAGTTATATCAGCTCCCAGAACATTTCATCTTGTTACTAAAGGAGCTACCGACAAGCAAATGTTGCTCCCTTCCCCTTCTCATCTGTTGTTGTCTTTTCCTATTATCTAATATGAAACTTTCTAATCCTTTCAGCCAAAGGATTCAAAATATATTTTGCTTGATGATGGACGAAAGCTATGTCTCGAGTGTCTTGACTCAGCAATAATGGATAGTCATGAATGCCAACCTCTCTACCTTGAAATACTAGAATTTTATGAAGGTTTAAATATGAAATTAGAGCAGCAAGTTCCTATGCTTTTGGTCGAGAGACAAGCACTGAATGAGGCCATGGAGGGAGAAAAGAATGTATGTCTTAATGGCTTAATGCGTGCTTTCATTTGCAGAGTATTGCTACTTCTGCTCCTTTTTTTCTCTGTTATCCTAATTTGAAGTTGTTATTTTGCTTTTCTGTATCAAATATAGGGTCATCACCATTTACCTGAAACTAGAGGACTGTGCTTGTCAGAAGAGCAAACTGTCACCACCGTATGGATTCCTTGCTTCCGATTTGAGGTTTTACGCACGTTAATTCTGATATAAAAGATTTGCGTATTATATGACGGTTTTATGCATTTCATGTAACACCAGATTTTAAAAAGACCAAAGATTGGGGCAGGACACCGAGTCACGGACATGATAACTGAGCCTTATAGACTGACCCGTCGATGTGAAGTGACAGCCGTTCTTGTTTTGTATGGCCTTCCTAGGTAACTTTTCACAATCTACTTTCACAATCTAGTACTTGCATAAGACCAGAGCCGTCTTAAGTTTTTGGAGGTCATGTGTAGGTTAACTACGGTTCAACCACGACAAAATAATTAGAAGTCCTATTTAACCACGTTTTAACAGTAACGGAGATTTTATGAGGCTTAGATAGGGTTTAACTGTGACAAATTTTGGACTTTGTGCGGTAATCCGTCTTGCACGCCCACAAAGACCGCCCTGCATAAGACTTTCACTCATTTCACTGATTTTATGTTTTTTTAGGTTGTTGACAGGATCAATCCTAGCTCATGAGATAATGCATGCATGGCTCAGGCTTAAAGGTGTTTCAGCTCTTCCAAGATGAAAATCATGCAGAAAATTTATATTTTTGTTTCATGGTGTTAACTTGGAAAAAAATGTTTTTTTACAGGTTATCCAAACCTGAGTCCAGAAGTTGAAGAGGGAATCTGCCAAGTCTTGGCTCACATGTGGTTAGAATCAGAGCTCTACTCTGGATCTGGGAATAACAATGCACCATCTTCGTCTTCGTCTTCATCATCATCAATGCCACCGTCCTCTGCTGCATCGTCAAAGAAGGGTAAACGGTCTGATTTCGAGAAGAAACTTGGCGAGTTTTTCAAACACCAGATTGAGTCCGATACCTCGTCAGCCTATGGAGACGGATTCAGATTGGGTAACAAGGCAGTACTTAAGTATGGTCTCAAAAGTACCCTTGATCATATCCATTTGACCGAAACTTTTCCGTGTTGAAAATTTGAAAGCTAGCATAACTTTTTCACACATACGAGCCTATGCCTCATCTTGGTTCGGAGTATTTCCTCTCTAGCCCCTACGTCTGCTCGAAACAAATATCAGTCGTTGGATTAATCAAACAATTGATAGTGTTGGTCTCTTGGTCATTTGATTAATTCAACAACTGAGTTTTGGTTCGAGAGGCGAAAGAATTCAGCTGCCATCATACAAATTACTGAAGGTCTTAAAGTGTACTTTTTTAAGGATTCCAAAATAGCAAGTAATTTTGAATTAAAGGAAAAGTTACCGTAAATACTTTCTTCTTTTGATTTGTTAACATGACTTTCGGTTACTCATTAATAATATGAAGTTTAATACTTGAGGCAAAATAAGGAATAAAAATGCACATCTTGGATTTCAGTTGCTAAAATCTCTGACATGGTATGTAATGTAAGATTGGTTAATCATGAGACTCAACTTTCTATATTTATTGGTTTTTCTTTATCAAGTAGCCTAGTGACTGAGATTTCATCCTTTAAAGGTAAGTGGAATATCGTGGGTTCGAACCTGCATCCCTATATAATTTGAATTGGGAGGAAAATGCCAACTATAATGAATTTGATGATGGTGAGGAAACAAGACTCATGGATCAAGAAGGTATAAGCTCTTGTGACTCTAATGTTCAAGAGGAATTTGGGTTTCTTGATTCATGATATATACGCATGGTGATGAATTTGATGATGGTGAAGAAAAGCTTTTCATGGCTCAATAAGGTATAAGCTCTTGCGGCTCTAATGGTCAAGAGAAATTCGGATTTCTTGACTCGTGATATAGAAATCGCATGGTGGGGAATAAAGAATTATTGTTTGATTTTGATGATAAATTCCGTGAATTTGTTAAGTTAGAAGATGATTCAAAGATGGAAGTCACGGGGAAATGTAGCCTAAAGTTGCGAATTGGTTCAAGTGGTGTAAGGTGTTTGATTAGGAAAGCTGGCTCGTCATGTCTACTCAAATGTTTATTGACATGATGATTGTGATATTTTCTACTGTTATCATTCCAAATTGCATGAAGATCACTCAAGAAGAACCTACCAAGTTATGGCATTAAAGTATGGTCTCTTAAGCGTCAATGGTCTAAAAACTTTATTTACCAAGAACATGGTTAGAGGATTATCAAAATTACAAAGTTCAATAAAAGGGTGGTCATATTGCATGATGGGAAAACAACACAAAGATTTCATTTCCAAGACCAGTAATTGGAGAGCAACAAGAAAAATGGAATTAATTCACTCTTACGTATGTGGCTTTATCAAGCCTGAGTCCAATGGGACAAACATGTACTTCGTCAAGACGGATCTATTTCTTGCATGAGAAGTCAATTGCTTTTGAGACATTCAAAAAACTTAAGGCCTTAGTTAAAAAGAAGTCAAATTATGAAATCAAATGAACATGGTAGCTGAAGTTGTTTTGGCCTGAAGTCAAATTATCAAATTATGAAGTCAATTGCATATTAGCTGCAAAAAATGTTCCAAAGATGTTTTGGCCTGAAGTTGTGAAGTGGTCAGTGTATGTGTTAAAAAAATTGTTTGCTCTTGTTATCAAGAAAATAATTGTGTAGATATGTTGTCTTTTAGGAATCAAAGTCAAGGAAGACCACGATTTTGTATGCAATAAATGATGAAGTGAATGATCTTTCTCCTCTTGAAAACCAACTCATTCCTCCTCTGGACCCTAAAGTTGTGAATAAAAATGAAAATGCCAAAGTTATGAATGACCAAAAGATATTCTCAGCAATATGGAGTTTACTACAAAGAATTTTTTTGCTCCAGAGGCAAGGTATGGTACTATCATAACCAAAGAATTTTTTGCTCCAGAGGCAAGGTATGGTACTGTTATAACCATATTTTCATTACTTGCAAGCAATGGGTGGTATGTATTTGAGTTTGATGTCAAGAGTACTTTTCTACATGGTGCAGGAGCAATGCACCTTTATGAGCCTTTGGGCATAAACCATAATATAAGTTTCTTTAAAAACAAGCTCATCAGAGAATGTTATACATTACCCCCCCTTTATTTTTTTCAAAATAATAAAGAGGCATTGTGTTGATTGATGGAGAACAAAATTGAAAAGACAATTAAAACCAAAAGAGTTGAACAAAACTACAAAACATTTAGTCTATTATAAATTCATTCCATAGAAAACTTAAGCAGCAACTGCTTGTTGGGCTGCAGCAGCTCTCTTCCTAGCTTCCTCAATGACAGTAAGCTTGATACCCTTACCCTTGGGAAGAGATACCCATGGCTTTGTACCCTTGCCAATGGTGAACACATTGCCCAGACGGGTAGCAAACTCGTGTCCAGTGGCATCCTGAACGTGGATTGTCTCGAAGGTTCCCTTATGCTTCTCCCTGTTCTTGATGACTCCAACACGTCCCCTATTCCTTCCACCAGTAACCATAACTACATTCCCAACATCAAATTTGATGAAGTCAACGATCTTGTTCTCCTCAAGATCCAGCTTAATGGTGTCATTTGCCCTGATGACAGGGTCTGGGTAGCGGATTGTGCGACCATCATAGGTGTTTAGGTATGGGATGCCTTTCTGCCCAAATTGCACTGAACGGACCTTGCAGAGCTTGAACTGCATCACAGGAAAGGAAAGCATGAAAATCTAAAATGATGCAAACAAAATATACATTTACAAGGTAAAATAGCATGGATAAGAGATAAAAATGATTAACATTTAACAATGCAGTATCATAAACACCGGATACTATACAATACATTTGTGAATCTTGTACATAATAAAAGACATCCATCGTATGCTATTGAATAAAAGATAAATTGAACAAAAAAAAACAGACAATTGCAAAAGGTTAATTGTTAAGTAAGCAAAGAAAGGTACCTTTGACTCGTCATCTCTGACAGAATGGAGACGGAATTTGCCTTTGGTATCATAAAGCAGGCGAAAGTTCTCATTTGTTTTGGGGATGGACACAACATCTGTCGACAAAAATTGAAGAGAGGGACAATCAGGAGTTATTTAATTGCACAAACTTCAGCTGATCCTATTTGTACCAGGATTTAAAACAAATAAACTTCGAACATCGTGCCAAATACTAATTAAAATTGATAATCAATTTATTGAAGCAGAGTCAAAGAAACTAAATCATGGGTTTGTCTAAGATAAATCCATGGGATTCAGATATTATTTAACTTCCCTTTCAGGCTCTACATAACAGATCCAGTACAAACTATAGCATATATCAGAAGCCATACACTGTTGACCACAAAAAAAAAACAAATTGAGCATTTACACTTAAAAATGACTAGCATCATACATACCCATGAATCCAGCAGGATAAGTCTTGTCAGTCCTAACTTTGCCATCAACAAGGACATGCCTTTGCATCAGAATAGCAATGACCTCACGGTATGTCAAAGCATACTTGAGTCTGTTACGCAATATCAGAATAAGTGGCAAGCATTCCCTTGACTTGTGTGGTCCAGATGAGGGCTTTGGAGCCTATATAGTTGCACAAAAAGTATCATTAGCCTCATAAAACACTCTTGAAAACCAAACAAATTGAAATATGACACAAATTTCACTTACAAAAGCACCACCGAGCTTGTCGAGCATCCAATGCTTGGGGGCATTGATCCTCTTCAAATGCTTCTTCAATCCTCTAGCCTGCCAAATTCACAAACATCAAAATTCAATACTCAAAACCACAAGGGCTTGTTTAGATCAACTTATATGAAAAATTTATTCAAACGGAACCTAAATTATTAGATCTAAACAACAAATACAACTTCAAACCCGTAAAATCTAGCCTCAGAAATCAAATCATAAAGCTTTATAAACTCCTAAAAAATTACAAGAACATACACATACACAGATTGAAACACTGGTTAAGCGAAACTATATCAGAAAGTGAAAATTGAATACCATTACGAATATGAGATTGAAAAAGTATGAAAATGAAAAATCGAGAGAGGAGAGAAGCGTGTACTAACCATTTTGGATGAACAAAAAGAAGACAATAGCTACAATGCTAGAGAAACAAACTGAAGAGTGGAAGCTGCGGCTTTAGGTTAAGAGAAAAACCCTAATTGTAGAAGAATGGATATGGGCCTTGAGGCCTAGAATCGTAAGTTATAATGGGCCTTAGAAAATTTTACCCCTTTCTCCTTTATTTATCCCCCACCCTACAATTTTTAAAATATTCTCATTTTATTCTTTTTAACGAATCAACTAATTTATCGATTTATTTTTTATCATTTCTCGCAAGTTTTTCAATTTCGAAGAATTTTTCACCCCGCATATATTTGTCGGAGTACTTTGGAAAAAGTCATTTGGTATTTTTTTTTATTATCAATGAATTTCTTGTTATGTTATCAGATGTGTATTTTTTATACACATAGAACTTGTTGGTAAGTTCTCGGGTTTGTAACATGTAACGCATAATTTGGTTTAATATTATCCGGTGACTTCCATTTTGGGTATCGTTTTACTTACCATTAAGTAATCTGGTAAATTTTCTTTAACTTTTTGTAGTCCCTCTATTTTCTTTTTTGAGGATTTTAGTTACCTTTCATATCATTTTGTCAACAAATGGCCCACAATTATGGCCAGTGATGAAATTGAGTCAATCAACCCTCCATTCATGAGGAGAATTATTGGTCGCTCAAAGAAAAATCGTAACAAGGCAAATTAAGAGCCTAGAAACACAAACACGTTGCCCAGATTTCTTCAAGAAGAGAAATGTCAAAATGCGAGAATATGGAACACAACAAGCGATCATGCAAAGGTAAAAGGTCAACTAAGAGAATAATACCTAAAACTTCACTATTACAACTGCCATGTCATTAAAAAAATGCTTTTAGGTTTGAAGGGAGACTAAAATCCTCAACAAAAAAAACAAAATAAAGGGACTACAAAAACTGGTTTTTAAAATAGAGGGACCATAATCGAAAGGAAAGAAAAGGAAAATAGAGGAACCAAAGTTATAATTAATCCTGACTTTTTTTACTATTTTTATGTTGCAGAGACATGGAAATCCCTTTACAAATATGCGATAAAAATCAGATGCATAGATATCACTGATGCATTCTCAATTATCCAAAGATTGTTGGGTGAGAATACGGACATCAGTGGTCTAGAATGGGGGGTTGTTGAATAGACATTTTCCTAATTAGACATTTTCAAAAACAATTTTCTGTCCCATGTACAAAATCAAAGATTTTAGAAATTGCGGAAGCAACACACAAAATACGGGAGTTTGGAAGCATCTCAATGAAAACAATCCATATGAAATGGTACATGAATTTATGTATGCATTTGATCAATTAGAATGCAAGTTAATTTCAAGACTACACAAATAGCTTTTCAACAAAGCTATTTCAAAAAAAATAGCTTATAGATTATATTAAAACATGATTTAAGTGATAATACTTCAATAAGATTGATGCACCACAAACCTAATCTTATACATTAAATCAATATAAGCAAAGTTTAACTTATGTGGTATACAATCAATGCAAACATGCAATAATGCAATAGCATAGTAGTTAATGCTTGAAAAGTAAAAGAAGCCGAAGAAGAAGAAGAAGAAAAGATACGCAACTATATATAGTGGTTCATATGTCGTCCTTGCATTGCCTACTCCACTATTCAATGAAGTTAAGACCATTGGGAAATAATCATGATCTTCCACTATTTTGATAAGTTTGATACAAGCATTTTGGTTACAACAGGAAATTAAACAATAAACTACGATGTTGATGCAAATACTTTAAACTACTAACAAAACAAGATCTCAAAATACCTTGATCCAATGATTCTTCACATGCACAATAATTCTGCTCCAAGTATTTGTGTGTAGCCATCAACCCTTTGATCCTATCGATTTCTTGTTATGAATGATTGTCATGGCTAAGCGTTTATTTGATAACTCTCAACTTTGTCTCGAGCAATATTTCTCCAACTCTACTGTAATACGGTGGGAGAACTGACTTGAAGTTTTACGTTTTATCATAAATGTTGCAGATAGCAAGAGTCACCACCGACTTTTCTTTTATCTAATAAAGGAAAGGGTGAAAAGAACAGGAAAGACCTTTTGAGAATTTTCTTGAGTTCGGGGGGTAGTTTATGAAAAGGGAAGGTGTTAGCACCCTTTTATCTGTAGTTATCTACGGGCTCTTAATTGCTAACTCACTTTGAAAATGCTTTGTGTTTTGTGTATGTTTGCAAATATTTTGAAAAAACTCTTAAGTGCGGCTTGTAATAATTCTCGTATCGTTGAGAATGTATACAAAATGTTTGTTTTGGAAAATATTTGTTGAAAGGGAGTGTTTGGAAAGATGTTTTGAAGATGCCAATGTAAGGCAATTTTGTAATGATTCTCGTATCGTTGAGAATATATACAAAATGTTTGTTTTGAAGAGTGTTTTGAAAATGGTTTGTTTTGAAAGTGTGGAGTGTGGAAATTGTTTTAGTTTGTGAGCAAGCAATTACGAGTGATCTACCTACTCAAAAAGTCTTTGTTATTTTCCTCCTCCTTTAGATAATGTTTTCCTACCATTAGTTAGTAAGAAGCCTCATCATTGGATGTGAGGAACAGACGTGGGTCATCGTATAGTCATAGAAGGCAACTTGTAAGACACTTTAGCAATTTTTCGTAAGGGACTAAGATCGTTTATTGAAGGCAAGATTGAAGGGTCATCGAGGGAATACGATCTTTTAACTGATGGTCTTTTGCTAAAACATCTCACGTTCGAGGGACATGACTATTTAAATTTGAGGCAACAGGTGAGGTTAACCCTAGAAATGCATGTGTGTGAAGTGTGTTTGATTCAAGTATTTTATCTTGAATTAGGGTCTTGCTATGTTTGCTTTTAGTCTTTTTATACAAACCCTAATTACTAACAATAATAAAGAAAGCGGTAAATTGCGGAATTTAAATGTCATACGCTATTATAATGCTTTGGGAATGGAGGGTACAAGTTTGTGAATGGGGAGGAAAGCAATAAAACCTTAATTATCTATTATAGAACATTTATATAAATAATAATATGAAATAATAAAATGCGCAAAGAAATGTAAAGTGTAGAAAAGAAAAAGAAAGTTGTTTTGTGATTTCGATAGGAAAAAAGGTTTAATGATTTAACCTAATTGATTGACTTTGTATTTAAAAGAAATTAGTAAACCTAAATAAATTAAGTTAAGATAAAAATTAATTTCATTAATAAAAAGGAAAAATAATTTAAATATAGAAAAAACCTAAATCTAAATTAATTTAAAATAGAATTTAATTGTTAGAAAATACTTTTGAGGTTTTGTTTAGAAAAAATATTTTGCAATGTAAAATAAATATAAAAACCTAATTCTAATCATTTTACAAGTTTAAAAATATAAAATAAAGTAATTAATTATTCATGAAAATTAAAAATAATTGATTAAAACCTAAACCTAATTTTTATGATTTAATGCATTTTATTAAATAAAATAAATAAAAATATAAAAAGAAAATATAAAAAGAAGTAAAAATAATTGGACCATGAGTCAGAAGTAAAAAGGGGGATGTGAGAAACCATTTTTGTTAGGCCTAAAATAGTTTTTGTTTGAATCATAAATGAAAAAAAAAAGAAATGGGCTTGTGTTAGTAAAAAAGCGAGGTGAAATGCAGCAAAAACAAAAAGCCCAGAACTACAAAGTCCAGGCACTGCCTGATTCAACGTAGCCAGCCTTTGAGGATTCATGGTGGATGCTTGCATCTGGAATGTATATCTTGGACATAGAGAGATCATAGGGTGATGGTGAGGGGTGCAACGTGCGCGCCTTAGGCTTGTGTGCATTGAATCTGAAACAAATAAATGTGAAACAAATAAAAGCGTACCAGTGGGGCTCAAACCCAGGTCCCTATAGTCACAGGCGCGCGCTTTAACCAATGGGGTGGTGATACATCTGGTAGTTAAAGCATAAACCAATAAATATATTACAAACTTATTCCTTAATATTTGAACAAGTCATCTTCTTCTTCCCCGCGCGTGCCAAGAACATCAACTTTATTTTAATTCTATAACTCTTTCATTTCTCAACCATTTTTAAAAATGTAAACATGAAAGTTGCTTGATTTTTCACCATGATTTCAACCATCTAACTTTTAAAGGTTAAAGATCAAAGACTAAGATGAATTTTGTTTAGTACCAAATTGAAACCTAATTTTTTCAGAAACTTCAACTTCAAAATTCTCATCACTCGGGCAAGATAAATAAAATGTAAGCACATGGTTAGCTTCAGGGAAATGATGTCTACATTTTTTATTTAAAAAGTAAACATTAATGATGCTTGTACAGAAAGTTCAAAGTTTAGAAAAATTACCTTAAAAGTGAGAATCGTGTTTGAAGCTGGAGCACTCCTGGAGATGTTGTGATGATCTGGATAGCTTCACCGAACTCCCAGGAAGCTATTGCAATGCTTACTTTGGATTGAGAGTGCCTGAATTCTTATGGAGAAGTCAAGTTGCAGAGTTGAGTTTTGAAAATGGTGGATGGTGGTAGAGGGATTATAGAAGTGGTTCTAGTGTTTGGATCACTTCCATGTGGTGTATAAATGATGTTTGAATGATTGAAATGGAAAGTGCACGAGTAGATTTGAAGTTGGATGTTCAAAGTCAGAAGTTGCCACAAAAATGGAGTTTTGATGCCAATTCTGGTTTGAAGGAGTATGGGGGTGTTTTAAGGTTTGTGAATTTGTGTCTTGTCTTGCAAATGATCATGTTATTTATATATAAAATATTTGAGGAGCTGAGGTAACCAGGTTTGCAAGTTAACAAGTTATGGCTTGGTTGGATGTAACTTGAAATTTCTTGAGAGTTATGGTTCCAATGTGAGCATGGCCTGATTGTAGGGGTGCTTTGCAAGTTGTAGATGGTTGCTTCTTGGTGCTGAGATGTTTTAAAATCAGAAGCAATGTATGGGCTCAAGGAGAGTTGACATTGTGTATAAAGCAACTTTTC